ACAAGATTACAGAATTGTTGAAAGTGATTGATAACAAGATTAATTGTGATTGTAAAAACTTGGAACCCTAACAAGGGGATTGGTCAATTTTGCCATCCTGCTGGGATTAAATTAGCCTTCTCAGAAGCAGGAGTGGGGATCTCATTACCAACACAGAAGATGACCAGGGGTGAAGCATGTCCTTTGGAACCTAAGATCCCTGTACACTGAACCTCCCTTGATCCAGGGACAGAAAGCAAGAGCTGAGTGACAGAGGAGCAACAGCAGAACCAATAGCCAGAGAATGCAATTGAGCAATGGACTTCCTGGCGTAGAGAGCCTGTAAAACCGAGTGTCTTTGTACAGGAGACTCCCTTTCAGATGGGGTATCTGCAACATCTTAATTGGGGAGCTAGGTTTGCTGATCCACCGAGCTAGAGCTGAGCAACCTTGGACTGAGCCTATGGCAAAGGGGAGTGCCCTTTGTGCATTCATTTATTAGCAGTGCTAAACGAGCCTTGTTACATTGCCTCAACAGTAGCCAAGGCCAAGCACGGCAGAGGGGAGACTGTCCTAACCAAAGAACTGTCTCCTGAGCATTGCTGATCTTGAATTGTTGAATTTCTTAATGGGAGCACGGTGGCTCTGTATGATTAGAATTGGATTGTGAACCATAAGCTCAGCAGTTTGAGCCCACCAGCTGCTCCACAGGAGAAAGATGTGGCTTTCTGCTCCCACAAAGATTCACAGCCACAGAAACTCAATACAAGGTGGCTATGTGAGAACAAACTTGATGACACTGAACAACAACTTCCTTAGTAAACTCTATAATTGTGAGTATTGTCTGTGAGTTCTACATGGCCACTGAAATGAATTACTGACCTGAGATGAAAAAAGTAAAGCATGCCATGGAAGGGGTAGTTGGTGTCAGATTTGATAAGGAGGGTGAAGGGTGGAGGTCTGTTTCACCTCAGCCACCTCAGGAATCAGCCTTGGGCTGTTACTGATGGTGAGTCTCCTCCTCCCACTGTAAAGATTTACAGCCTTGGAAACCCTGTACAAGGTCACTATGAGTTGGAACTGACTCTACGGCACATCACAACAACAACAACAACTAACTACAAGGTTGGTGGTTCAAACCTACAAGCCACTCCTTGGAAACCCTAGACAGGGTCAATATGAGTTGGAACTGACTCGATGGTAGTTAATAACAGCAATAAAAACAATATCTGTTTTGAGAGGTCAACTTACTTTTCCATATTCCAACTTGATATCTGATTAAATGTTGTTTAGCAATTTTAAAAAAATTCCAAAAACTAGCCATGATACATTCTATTAAAAAAGTTTAATAAAAGCATCAAAATTATGTTGAAGATAAGGACTAACAATTAGATATTAGGCAGATTCATAAACAAAGCACAATTATTTTCACATTTCAAGTAAACCAGAAAAAGCAAAATTATAAAATGCTAACATGTGAGAGGAAAGCAGTAACAGCCCTTTTTAGCGATTTATCATACAGAGGTGTTTTTTTTTTTAAGTGCTACAGTTTGAGACATTACATGGGAAAGTTTAATACAAATCAGTATAATCTCACAGAAAGCAGAGGTTTTTCTCAAGTAAGTAAAAAGCTCTTTGGTTACTTCAAACTCACTGCCATCGAGTTGATCCCAACGCATTGTGACAAACATAGGACAGAGTAGAACTGCCATGAAGGGTTTTCAAGGCTGTAAGTCCTCAATGGAAGCTGGCTGCCACATTTTTCTCCTGTGGGACAGCTCATGGGCTTGAACTGCCAACCTTTCGCTAGCATATGAGTGCTTTAACACTATAACATTTTAACACTTTGTTTAGGAATGCTGAAAATGCAAGTATACATTGTTGTTGTTGTTAAGTGCCGTCGAGTCGGTTCCGACCCATAGCGACCCTGTACAGGGTAGTTTCGAACCGCTGACCTTAAGGTTCACAGCCGGATTCATAACTACTACGCTACCAGAGCTCCTTAGAATAATAAATACTGAGTCTTCAATGCAATTCGGAAGTATATGAAATCACACATTAGAAATAAACTCATCTGCCCATGATGTACTGTCATCCATACACAAGAGGGGCCTTCAGAAAGTTTGTGGGAAAATGGAATTAAAGAGAATGGAATTTTCCCACAACCTTTCTGAAGCTCCCTCATACATTATCTCATCTAAAGTCTACACAACTACCTCTCCGATCACTTTCAGTTCTTCTGCATTTAGTCTTGTAGTTTATGTTTATAAACAATAAAAATCCTCAAGGCACCTAGATATTAGCCCATGCTTCAATTATTCTTTATTGAAAATACTTAATAACATTTATAAAAAGGAAAAGAGAAATGCAGTAGATAATATTTTTTTTAAATGTTGAGTAAAAAAAATCAATTGTTTTACTTATATAACATTTAGGTCTCTTCTTCCTCCTATTTTTTTTTTTTTTAAATTTTATTTAATCAGACATTATTTTTATTCCTTGGGCATGCAGTATTAAGTCTGCTGAGACATGTTCTAAATTAAAGGGACAACTCAGTGTAGTACTCACATTCCCCTGGACTACACTAAGAAGATTTGGTTGTCCAAAGTGTGGAAAATGACCAATGCAGAAGTCAGAGGTTTGGGAGCTCTTCCCCTTAACTGGACTGGACAATTGGCACCGAACTGAGGCTGATTCACAGGAGGTCTTACTAACCAAAGTGCTCCAGTTCAGAGCTGCATCTTTCCCTTAGTCCTCAAAGTCCCAACCACTCTAAAGCTTGTATTCCTTCTTCCACAGCAGTAGGTACAGCATTAGTTACTACCCTGTAAAGAAAGTCAACAAGAGGCCCCTGAATGTGGCCTTGTCTCCAGCTGCTAAGAGCTTGTTATATTTAAACTGTCAAGGCATCATTCTAAGCTTGCTTAAAATAGTTGTTTTAAATGATGAACAAAAGTCCATCCATACAAAAGAAAAAGAAAAAGCAAATAACAAACTGGCTTTAATTGACATTAACAAAAAAAAAAAAAAATACATTGATTTTTGTTATCTTTAAGCAACAAAAATTACCTTCAGTTATTCAAAATAGAGTGAGATTCTCCCCTCCCCCTAAAATACACATCTTAACAAAGAACCCTGGTGACTCAACAGCTAAGTGCTCTGCTAGTAGCTGAAAGGTTGGTGGTACCAACCAACCAGCAGCTCCTTGTGAGAAATATCTGACAGTCTACTTCCTTAAAGACTACAGCCAAGCAGGTCCTATAGAGCATTACTACTGTGTCATGCATAAGGCCACAAAATGAGTTGGAATCAACTCAATGGCACTCAACAACAACAACACTTTTTAATAGTCATTCACATGTTGACTGGGCACCCTCAGAGAGCAAGGCATTGTAAAGGGAGCCAACAACATGGATCCCCAACTCAAGGAGCTCAGTCTGGGATGAAGATGGATCCACATGGCTACACAGTGAGGCAGAAGTGTTGACTGATATGGGATTGAGTGGTGGCAGCATGGAGACATGGTTCAGAAAGAGCTCCCCAGTCACAAAGACTGGTAGATTTGAAACCTAGTGGTGGTACCTTTAAACTAAGTGCCTTCATATCTCTAAGCTTCAGTTTCATCAGCTGCAAAATAACATTTTCTTACTAGGGTTCCTATAAGAATTGAAAATCAAAGTCCAAGTAAAGCGGTGAGCATGGTACAAGGATGAAGGAGAGGTCAACACAGGGTACTCATATTATTACCAGGATTCGGTCTATGTAAGGACAAGTACAGGAAAGGACTAGTCATTTTCTGGAGCATGACTTTTCTAGAGGGGAAATAATGACATACAGAGCCGGGTAAGTCTTCATTGCACAAGACTGCTTTGATGGTGCAGGCCATTTATCATCCTTGCCCTCACAGCATCAAAATGCCAGGAGCATCCCCATCATTGTGATTACCAGAAAATGCACCCAAATATTTCCAGTCACCTTCTTAAGGGAGTTAATATCCCTGTTGAAAAAAATAATCTTTTATAGGGATCTGAAAAAAACAACAACCAGAATTTAGTTCCAGTAATAAACAGTAAAAATGTCTTTCTTTCTTGGAAAGTATTCAAGGATGAGATACACTAAGTATAATGAATGGTAGGAAGGTAGGAAGAATGGAAAAGATATAGTCAGTACAGTTTGAAAGAAGAATACTTTTCTGATGAATACCATTATTCACCATTCAGGATTCAAGCCAAAAGGTAAAGCTATAACACTGCAAGTCAAGTCAGCAGAAAGGAATTCTGACCTAAAGTCACTTCTCTAGACAGGTTCACTGTCCATGTAGTTGAAATAGAAGGTAGCCATATAAATTTCAATAACAACTTTATGGGAAGATAATTATTAATCCTAATTGTTTCCCATTAACATACTAGACAGAGGTCTGCTTCATTCTACCAAACTAACAACTAAAACTAAAATCTAAACACAAAAACAAAAACTAACCAATTACAAGACAAAAAACTGGCATAGGATCTGTGCTGAGGAAAGCTCTAAGCTCAACATAACCCAGACCTATAGGTCTAACAAAGTGTTCAAATCTGAACACGCTTCATGTTGTCACAGGTCATCAATATTCTACACCAGAACCCAATGGCGTTTCAGTGATGTGAGAAAGGATACGGCGCATTGCCTTGATTGGTGGGTGCTGAGAGGTAGAAAGAAGGCAAGTTATATAACCATCGTTTTACAGATTGAATGACTGAGGCACAGAGAGGTAAGAAGAAATGCTTATTAGGACTCACACCCACATCTCCTGCTTCCCAGAACAGTACTCTGGTCCTTATTTCTTGAAATTATAGACATATGTTAATAAAATAGCTGCTGAGGAATCCTCAGAGACAAAAGCTCCTGTGAACTCTACTTTTCAATCTCCTTAATTTGAATCTAACCTGAATCTGGTGAGTTGTTACTATCATTTGCAGAAGTAAAATCTGTTCTGAAGGACATATACACATATATCTGTTCACCGTCTCTTTTTGGAGACTTTATCTTTTTGACACAATGACATTAAATGGATGTGGGGCTAAAGTTAGACCAAATCTTCCGGTCAGGATGGGCTTCTTAGAGTCCTTAGGTAAACGGAATGTGAAACTCTGCATTAAGCTCACAAACATCAGGAATAATTCCATCTTTGCCAATTGCTCTCCCATGCACACCCGCTTCCCTGAAAAAGAAGAGCACAAAGAGGGTTATAATGGTGTCTCTTTTATTCTCTCAAAAAGAAGAGATTTATATGAAACATTTAAACTTGAATCAATTTATCATATATACCACATGGTCTCCTATAATATATGCTCATCAGAATGTTGATAAAACAAGTTCATATTTTCACTCCTACTCATAAAAACCTAGCCTCATCCTAGACAGACACTAGACACCAGATCCAATGTAGCAGGCTACCCTGTCTCCTTCACACCTTTTCTTTGCCCTTATCTGGAAGATTAAAGGGGGAAATGTCAGATACAAAAAATTCAGGAATCTCCATTTTCCATAGAAAATATCCCATGTATTCTAATCTAGGAATCTAAAAGAGCGACTGGCCAGATTAGAGAATCTGCCCTCTCACCAAGAAAAAATCAGAGGTTGCTCTTAACTCCAACAGCTGTCTGGGACCCAAACAATTGTCTGACCAACTCAGAAAGAAAGGTTTCTAGTAATATTTTAAAAATTACAACTAATTGCTTTCATGTTGTTTCTAAAATCTGAAATGTACACAGCAATGATGCATTATATAAATTACTTATCCCATATTAGCTTGCCAAGAATGAAGTATTTTAAAAATATAAAATAACAAAAGATTATTTTAGTTCTACTGTTTATTGATATCACTTTTAAAAAGTTCAACTGACCTATCCCAAAAGGGATAAAGGTTTCTCTTTTAATAAGTTGTCCTTGATCATCCAGAAATCGATTAGGGTAGAAGTCATCTGGTTTCTCCCACAAGGCTGGGTCTCTGTGTACTGACCACAAGTTGGGCACAACCACTGTGCCTTTAGGGATGGTATACCCTTGAAGCACTGAAACAAAACACAACAGGGTCAATCTACTTATCTTTATGAATTGTTCTTCCTACTACAAAACCAAACTCATTGTCAAGGAAGGAAAGAGAGAAAATCTAGTTATAAACCTAGCATCTTAATTTACTGAGGTCATTGAAGATAGGAGAAACGTCTTCTCAATTGGATCCTACTCACTACACCTTCCCAATACTCAGCCTGAGATAGAGCCTAGGGGGTGCTCAGTGGCATTACTAGGGTTGGTTATCACCCAGAGCAGAGGCTCATGGCGTCATCTCCCCTGACCTCCTGCAGTAGACAGGTCCCATCCATGGACTCCCAGCACGTGGACAGAGAGATCCAATCTGTACTCTTCACCTCCTCACTACCTAGTGATGTCACTGGGAGTTCAGATAATGAGTGAAATCAATCCACAAAAACATTACAATGCAAAGAAAGCACAGAATTCAAATTCTTAATAGTTAGATAGGCTTTTACAGCTTACAGGATATTTTTTTATGTCCACAAACTATTTGGTGAGGAAGGTAAACTAAGGAAAGAGAATGTTCAGGCAAGTCAACACTGGTTCTTATCAGCTGGCAAGTTAATGGATACTTTAAACAGTGCCTAAGATATACTGTACACATAGTGCATCTAATTTGCATCCAACTCTTAATCGATCCAATTGACAATTACAAGGGATTGCTTATGATCATGCTCAAGCAACAATGCAATGGGGCTGTTTCCAGATGTGGTCAAATTCTTGCTACTAGGGATGCTGAAAGAGCACATGGGTAGCTGGCTATATGTCAACAACATGAGCACATAGAACCAGATGGGGACTTCTAATTATATAATACTCACTTTTCTGTTGTATAATTGTAAAGTTTGGAGTAGGAAAATGGTCAGCTAAAATCCTTATTTTCACAATTAGAGCAGTTCAACCCCCAAACAGAGATCTGGGAGTGTGTCTGCCAACATAGTTGTTGTTAAGTGCTACTAAGTCAGTTCCTACTCATAGTGACCCTTTATAGGGTTTCCAAGAAGCAGCTGGTTGGTTTGAATCACCAACCTTGAGGTTCACAGTACAGAGCATATCATACAGCACCACACCCAGTGTCCAACACAGCCAATTCAAATTACAGCATAATTCTTTAGGCAGTGTTTGCTCTGAAGGCTACAAAAGCAATTTTTAAGATAAAGTGGTGCTAGGAATGCTAGCTCAACTCATAATGGACAATTGAGGGCTGAAATATTCCCTAAGCTCTCCATTTGCTTCTCCAAAATGCAACCCTCAGAAGGGCTTTAGACTAGGCAATAGTCACCACACTACACTCCTTATCTCCACTGGATCAGGGAGCTGTGCTCAGGGGCATTCAGAGGAGGAAGAGCCGGGACTTGCCTGTGTTCTCCGAAGTCATATGAGGGATGGAGAGTGGTACCACCACAGTCAGCCTCTGCACCTCCATGATGGTGGCCTCTGTGTAGGGCATCTGGGCCTTGTCAGTGAGGGAAGGGGCTCGGTCGGGACCAATGACCCTTTTGATTTCTTCATGAACCTTTTCTATACAAGAAAGGAGGTGCATAAGACCCAAGAAAGCTCAGAAGAGAGTTGAGACTGCCCTCCTATGCACACTTTTCATCCCCACTTACACAGGACTGGTAAATTGATAGTCTCTGCCTGATTCAGCCTCAGTGAAGGGAAACAATGTTCAGACACCTCAAGTAGAGGTAGCTAACCCCAGGGGTCATGTGCCACTCTGTGATTTTGTAGAATAATAGAAGAAACAGGAAAGCATTCTAGATTCAAGAGCACCCTGGATCATTCTCTCATACAAATACTGTTTGATTCTCTAAGCCAACAGTGATTCCTGTCTTTTGGTGTTTAATCCTTGTTGTAGTTCCCTCTCACTTTGTACCAGGTTGGTATACCATGTTGGTGTAGAATAAGCAGAAGCGACGGTATGTTACTTTTGAGCTCAGCTTATAAAAGATAATGTGTTTGATAATGAATATTTATCAGTGTGTGAAATAACAGATGTTTGTAGTTTTAAGATAAGAAATGTTGGGATAATTTGTTGTTACCCAGCAAAGGTAGGTAATAGAGGTAGGGACAGTCCTATGTATGGCAGACAAAATAACAACTCCTTGGAAATGTCCAGACCCTAATCCCATTACATTGCAAAAGAGACTTTGCAAGTGTGTTTAAATTAAGGATCATGACCTGTACTATCTGGGTGGGCACAATCTAATCACATGGGGTCTTGAAAGTCAGAAAGTCTTTCCCAGTGGAGTTCAGAATCAAGAGTGAGTTACGACTAGAAAAGAATGGTCTCAGAGATGCAACATTGCTAGCTTTGAAGATCGAGGATAAAAGCCATGAGCTACAAAATGAGGGTGACTTCTTGAAGCCTGAAAGCAAACAGGAAATGGAATTTTCTGCTAGCATCTTAACTTAAGCAGAATGAGACATGTCAGATTTCTAACCTATCAATGATTTAAAAGACTCAGAAACCTTATACAGGGTCATTATGAGTCGGAACCAACTCCAAGGCATTTAACAACATCTGTAAGATTCTTGTTGTTTTAGGTCAGAAAATTTGTTACAGTAGCAATGGAAAACTATTACAAGGGTAAGCCAAAAAGTATTGTTACTAGATGTTCAGTTTACCCATGAGTTTATTGCATGCATGAACTGGAATTCTACTAACAAAACGTACTCAGACCACTCTCTGTGATCAGTAGATGGCTGCAGTTATCTTAGTAGTGCACTTGTCTTAATCTCAGGGCTGCAATGGTCGCTGCATGCCACCAAGTCGGTTCCAACTCCTAGTGCTGTGGAGTCCTGGTGTGGTGCTGTAGGATAAGCACTGGACTGCAGAGTTGGCAGTTTAAACTCACCAGCTACTCCCCAGAAACCCCATACAAGGCTGTTATGAGTCAGAAATGAGTAGATGGCACTTAATACAACAACAAATATTTATGGGAGTAGAAAGCCTCACCTTACCCCTATAGAGTGGCTGGTAGAATTGAACTGCTGACCTTGTGGTCAGCAGCCCAACATGTACCCCACCACATTACCACATTTCCTTTAGTCTTAATAGGATGCCTTAAAAAGTAAGGTACAATCAAGATAGTGGCTTTCCTAGGGGACCTGCTGGGTCAATTCAATTCATGGCAAAGACATCAGCTCAGATGGTTATTGTTGGTGTTGTAGTTCTTGAGTGCCATCAAGTTGATTCCAATTTATAGGAATCCTATATAGGGTTTCCAAGGAGTAACTGGTGAGTTTGAACCTCTGACTTTGTGGTTAGCAGTCCACTGCTTATTCTACAGTGCCACATGATGACTTGTTTTGTTTTGGAGTTCCAAAAGGGTAATATTGATAGATTTTTCTAAAAGGACACATGGGGACTTATTAAGAAGAAGTTTTAAGAAACTTGAAAACCGTATTGGTGATAAAAAGGCCAGGAAAGTTGTGCTGAGGATTCTCCCCACCCCACCCCCATCACAACAGTGCACCTGCTCCTTCTTTGAAGGTAGCAAGGGCTGTCCTATGGGAATTTCTATGAGAAACTGGAACCACTGGACAGTCCTGACTGCTTCTTCAGACTTCTTTTTGTCTCCAATTCTCAAAGAACATTAAAGGGAACATGGTTTGAGTCCCTTGAGGATGCCCACACTGCTGTTTTGACATGGTGCTAGTCAGAGTACAGACTTATCTGGGGAAGAGTTAGAGAGATAGAAATATCACCTCCATCTATTCATGTAGATAGAGGATATGAGCATGTTGAAAGACAATAACTTTGCATTTTAGTCTCTTTGTTTAATAAAGATCTCTATATGGTTTGTAGCAATACTTTTGGACTTACCCTTGTACACCACCCTTCTCTATGAACTGCCATTGAGATTCACTACTGATTAGTATTGAAATGGTGAAAGTCTCATCAATTCTCTGGATTCCTGCTCTCATTTTCAAAGCAAGATGAATGACTTCAGAGGACCATTATGATTCCCATTAGCTCTAAGATGTCATTTTATAAAGTCATTTTTCTCCATCAGCAATTCCACCAAGAATCATATATTTTAAAGTAGGGCAAGCAAATAACGACATCAGGCTTATTGTCTAGAAACTTGGGGTTTCACTGTTAAGCATTTCCATTTCCATTTCCAGCCTACAGACACTGCCTAACTCTAGGCGCCCAGATTTAGCTGCTCCTGATTTGGGTTTTAACATGTATGAAAGAAACGTCTTTTACCTTGTACATCAGGATTTAGTGACATATACAGAAGGCACCAAAGCAATGAGTTAGTGGTGGTATCGGTCCCAGCGATGAAGAGATCCCCAATCATATAAAACAAGTAATCTTCATTAAAACTACTGTTGCTATTAGTTTTTTTTTCCTCTTCCATGTGGAGAAGGTACATGTCGATGAAGTCTTGAGGATTCTTTACATCCAGAGATTCTCGATGATCTTTGATGATTTTTTTAAGGAAACCGGTGATATCCTTTTCGATTTGTCTGAGTTCCTTATATGGTCCAAAGGGAAGGTAATAAAGCCAGGAACATATGTTGACTAGGAGGACCTGGCTGCTCAGAGAGATTTCTAACCCTCGTGACATAAAATGAAGCATCTTCTTAAATTCACTATTGGTGTAGTCAAAACGCTGGCCAAAACACAAGGAGCAAATGATGTTAGAGATGGCATTATTGACAACGGGGAAAGGACTGAACGGGTCCTCTCCATGCTTCTGCATCTCCTCTTTCACATATTTAAACTCCTCAATAATCTTGGGCTCCAAGCTAAGCTTTCCCAAGCCAAAATGGCGAAGAGTTGAGTGAGAGAACTTCCTCTGTTGTCTCCAGACTGAACCATAAGGTGCAAATACAACACCTGCAAAGAGACACCAAGAATGGAAACTGAAAGAGAGCAATATCTGATAAGACTGAACAGGACCTACCATGAAATATATTTGAGTTTCCTGAGTTACTTGTGTGAAGTTCATATACAGGATCACTGATAAAGACCACCTTTAAAAACATGCTTCATTCAACAGACATTTCTGAATACCTACTAAGTGTCAGGCACTGGGGTGCTAGGGACACAGCTACGAAAGAAAGAACGAACCTGCTCTGTGAGTATGTTTTCTCAGTCTTTAATACCCTATAAAATTTCTCTCATGTAAATATCCATGTGGTCAAATGTTAGATCATCTGTATTAGTTCATTTTCCACCCTGGAGTCTTCCACATTTCTGCTCAAATCTATACTGGTTGTTCTCTAGAGCTACTGTACAGGGATTGTCTTATGAATTAAATGTGCTATCATTTAGAAGTGGTCTTTTATTCTCTCCTGTGTTGGAACCCATGTTTCTTGAAACCATGTCTTTCTCCTTCTTGCTTTACTCCCTAATTTTGCTGAAACATGTCCTATGTTGTTATTAAGTGCCATCCAGTCATTTCTAATTCATAGCAACCCTGCATAGGGTTTCCAAGGAGTAGCTAGTGGATTTGAACTGCTGCACTTGAGGTCCAGTAATTTACCCTAGAGTGCCCCACCAGGACTCCGGTAGTTTCTAACGATCTTTGATGATTTGTTTAAGGAAACTGGTTATATCCTTTTCAAATGCATCAGAGTAAATTTCTTAGGACTTTGGTGGTAGTGGTGGTGGTGGTGGTGATGTGCCGTGGAGTTGGTTTTGACTCATAACAACCTTGCATATGGTTTCCAAGGCTATAAATCTTTATGGGAGCAGAAAGCCTCATCTTTCTCCTGCGGAACGACTGGTAGTTTCAAACTGCTGACCTTGAGGTTAGCAGCCCGACTCATACCCCACAACGCTTCAAAGCTCCTTTCTTAAGACTTTACATGCCTGAAAATAGATTCTTTGTACCTACTTGCTATTTTTCATCAAGATTAAAAAATTTATATATGTATTTAATTTTTTCATTTTGTTGTATATACAGCAAAACATACAGTAACTCAACAGTTTCTACAGGTACAATCCAGTGGCACTGGTTACACTCTTCAAGTTGTACAACCATTCTCACCTCTTCCTCGGTGTTGCTCCTCCCCCATTAACATAAAACTCACTGCCCACTAAGGTTCCTATCTAATTTTCAAGTTACTGTTATCACTTTGATACCATATAGGTAGTTCTTAAAAGAGCACAATGCTCCAGGCAGACCTTTTTCAGTAGTTAAATGAAATACTGCTTAGTTTTAAGAAGACTTCAGGGGATATTTTTGGTTAAGGTTTAAAGACTATCTCAGGGAAACAGTTTCAAGGGTTCATCTGGCCTCCATGGTTCCAGAAAATCTGAAATCCATGAGATTTAGAAATTCTGTTCTGTCTTTCCCCACCACCCACCTTTTGATCAGGATTCTTCTACAGAATCTTTGATCAAAATGTTCAGTAATGGTTGCCAGGCACTAACCAGTTTTTCTGGTCTCAGGGCAAAGGAGGCAGACAGATGTTCATAGAGACAATTAGTCACACATTCCATATCCTCCTTCTGTTGTTGACTCTCCTATTGTTACCAGTAAATAGACATCAATTGTGCTTTCTATGATTTTTCCTCAGAATTTTAAAGGCATTACTAACAGTAGATTTTTGAGTTATAGAATCTGTACTATCTTCCACATTACTTGATTGGTGCTTGCCACCGAGGTAGTTCCGACTCACAGTGACCCTGTATAGGGTTTCTGAGGTTGTAAATCTTTATGGGAGCAGAAAGCCTCATTTTTCTCCCATGGAGCAACTGGCAGATTTGAACTGCGGACCTTGCTGTTAGCAGTCTAGCTCATAATCCACTACGCCACATTACTGTTGTTGTTTAGTGCTGTCGAGTTGGTTCTAACCCACTGTGACCCTGGTTAGGGTTTCCGAGGAGAGACTGGTGAGTTTGAGCCACCAACTTTGTGGCTCAAACTACCCTTGAGGTTGAGTGCTTATCCTACAGTGCTGCACCAGGACTTAACATTACTGTTGTGTTGTTGTTGGTGCCATTGAGTCGGTACCGACTCATAGCCACCTTAAGCACAGCACAACGAAACACTGCCCGATCCTGGGCCAACCTCACCATTGCTGCCACGTTTGTAGGCACATCAAAAGTGTATTCGGCCACTGGGAAGTTTTTAAAGGTAATTGCATTCACCAGTCTTTAATGATTTGAGCTATATGTTTTATTTAAGAGATTTTTTTCATAAACAAATTCTCTATTTTCTTATAAAATTTGAAAATTCTGTCTTTCATACTGAAGTCTGTAATCTACCTAGAACTTATATTTGTCTGATGTTTGAGGCAGAGATTCATCTAAACTTTTCTCTCCATTTAGATAGTCCATTGCTCAAGTAACTCTTTTCCCCACTGATCTGTAATGCTTCCTCTGTCATACTTTCCTACACACAGATGGATCAGTTAATAGGCCTTCTAGCTGACTTAACTGGTCTATTTATTTAGTGTTGTAATTAAAGCACATTGTTTTAATTGTTGTTGTTGTTAAGTACCGTGGAGTCGGTTCTGACTCATAGTGAACCGCAGATCTTGTGGTTTCCATTTAATTGCTTATCGAATCTATTTCTGTCTTTTAAACACAGGGTTTCCAAGGCTGTAAATCTTTACAGGAGCAGACTGCCTCATCTTTCTCCTGCGGAACCACTGGTAGTTTTGAACTGTCGACCTTGAGGTTAGCAGCCCGATTTGTAACCACTTTGCTACCAGAACTCCTTATTGTTTTAATTACTATAGGTTTAAAAGACAGAAATAGATTTGATAAGCAATTAACTGGAAACTACAAGGTCTGCGGTTCAAGCTGCAAGCCGCTGGAGGAAGATGAGGCTTTCTACTCGCAAAGATTTAAAGCCTCAGAAACCCTATACAGGGTCACTATGAGTCAGAACTGACTCAACAGCACTAAATGATAAAAAATTTTAAAAAGTCATCCTCTTCCTTCCACACCTTCATACCCATCCCAACCTTGCTCTTTTCAAAATTCTTTTTGGTTACTACTGGGTTTTTAGTTTTTTAATATCAGAGTCTTAAGTTATATCTATTTACCTATCTATATATCTTTGTTAAGTTATATACAAATATATCTATATGTTTGTTAAGTTACATACATATATAAAATCCATTGAGATTTTGATTGAAATTGCATTCAATTTATCAATTCATTTGAAAATTACTTTATGTTAATTTTACATCCTTGCAACCTGAGGATAAATGCAAACTTGGTTATGATAGAAAAAAACAACAACAACAACAACATAAAAACATCGCTTGGTTAAGTTCCTTACAGGTATGATGTTTTGGTTTTTCTAATTCATATTCATAAATGGAAATGACCTATATAGTTATTTCCTCATAATGTACTTTTTCATAATGTTACTTCTAAAATGAGCTAAACAGGATTCTTTCTTTCTGGAAGAGTTTGTCTATGATCAGAGTGTTTAGTTCCTTGAGTGTTTGATAAAGTCAGCTGTGAAGCTGTGTGTGTGTTGGTTTATATTACTGACACAATTTCTCTAATGTTTATAGATTTTTTTTAAGCTTTGCATCTTTCAGAGTTAAAACATCATGTTTTTCTAGGAAACTGTCCATTTCAACTAACTTTTACATCTTATTAGTAAAAGTTATTTGTAGTATTTCTTGTTCCTTCTTGATCAATTCTGCCCCAAGTATTTTTTTCTGTCTTATTAGTCTATTCAAAGAATAACTTTTAGCTCTGTTTATCCTTTCAATCTTTGTTCTTCATTTAATTTTGTTCTGTTCTTATCTTTATTTCCTTTAGGTTTATTCTGATATTTTCTTAATACATAAAGTTGGCCACCTAACTCAGGAGCTCTGGTAGCGTAGTGGTTACAAGTAGGGCTGCCAACCTTAAGGTCAACAGTTCGAAACTACCAGGTTTCTCCGTGGGAGAAAGATGAGGCGTTCTGCTCCTGTAAACAATTACAGCCTCGGAAACCCTGTGCAGGGTCACTATATGTCAGAACTGACTCCACGATACTTAACAACAACAAACCTAACTCATTAATTTTTAGATTGTTATCCTAATAAAAAATTTAAGGCTCTACATTTTCCTTGAGATACCACTTTAGCTGCAGTCTAAGAGTATTGTTTGCAGGCATTCTCACTATGCAGTTTTAAGTTAAACACTTTTTTTTATACTATGTTTTTTCTTTGCTACTTGGGTTAATGTCTTCTATACTGCACTGATTTTTCATCAGCTTTAAATGCTTGCATTTTAGCCTAATACGTATTTAATGTTAATAAAATTTCTAAATAAAGCAGACAGAAATGTTTATTCAGTAATTATGGGGTACAGGATTCTTTGTATGTCCAATAGAGAAGGCTTAGCAACTGCAGGAATTAAATCTATATCCTTACGTAATTTTTATCTGCCTGACATCTCAACTATTCTAGATTTGTAAATTTCTTATAGTTCCGTCAATTTGTGCTAAATGTAGATAAATTTAAATCTAGCTAGCTAGCTAGCTATCTTAGTCTATGTTTTTAGGTGCCATCAAGAACTGTTATTACATCTTCCTGGTTAAAAAAAATATCAGGGGAACTCCTTTTATCATTATGGTAATGCCCTTCCTTATTCCTAACAGTGCAGTTTGACTTAACGTATGAGTGGGCTTCAAAACGTTTGTGGAAAAATGGAATTAAAAGATAGTGGAAATTTTTCCATTAACTTTTTGGGGTCCCTTGTATATTTTGTTTAATATATTATCATTTTTCCCTTTGTGAAGTTTTTCTTTATGAAAACATATAACCCTTTCTCTTTCCTTTACTTTGAACCATTCTGTACACTTACGTTTGAGGTGCGTCTCTTTTAAAACAGCATCTAATTGGATTTGAAAAAAAAACAAAAAAAAAAACACTTCT